CCCCCTTTACGTCGAGAGAGAGAGAGAGAGAGGAAAACTGGAGGCAGATTTCTTCCTCTGAGAAAGAGAGAGATGAATAAGAGATCGGATCTGCCCAGCACTTAGAGAGAGAGTTGAAAGTGGGCAGGTCTGGCCCCATTAGAGAGAGGAAAAAGGGGGCACAACTGCCCCCTTCAAGAGGGAGAGAGATAAGAGGACAAGAGAGATGAAAAGGTGGGGAGGGCGAGGGCAGAACGACACCCCTTCTAGAGAGAGATAAGAGGGGGCTTCACCTGCTCCCCTTTAAGAGAGGGAGAGATGAAAAAAGGGGATGGTTTTGCCCCCTTTAGGGAGAGAGAGAGAGAGAGAGAAACCATTTACTTGAGTGAGTTCATGGGTACTCAGCTCGGCAGGCCAAGGCCAAGCAACTCAACTGAGTTCCAAGTGAGCTTAACATTATGCTATTTACTTTTGGTACAAGTCACAATCACTCTCAATTATTATACGTCATATCCAACAATTGGGGATGTGTCACAAAGTTCAAGATTCTTTCGAACTTTTTGAGCAAGGGGATATGTGACCTCGTACCAAAAGTGTGAACGGTCTTATTGTGCCCTTTTCCTATTTCAATTTGAGTGACAGTTCAGGGGAAAGTCACAATGGATCCAAAAATTTGTAATGCCCCCAAGCCCTTTATCTAAAGAGCACACTATTATGACTGAAGAACAAAATAAAACACACACCAACCAATAAAAACATAAATTAACCTGTGCAAATTTATAACTTCAGTTAAACTGTAACTAAGCTTGGCAAAGTTTTAACCAAGGTACCTCAGCCTTAGGTAAGCTTCAATTAGAGATGGAATGTGATATAAGCCTTAAACCTCAAACACACTCTTGATTAACCATTTTGAACAAATTAGCCAGGTTCAGTTTCACAACAAGGGCCCAAGCTTAACAAAGCAAAGTTGAGCTTGCCAATCCAGTCAATGTTCATATAACATAGGTGTGGCTTGCCCAAAGACATATTGAACCAAACTTCTTGTCTGATCCAATTCGGATAAACTGGGTCCTAGTCGATCTAAACAACCCACCATGACAAAACAGCCCACCTAATATGGTTGTAATAGCCTGGGTCCAGTTCAATCCAAACCAGGCCAAAGCAGGTCGAACTGGTCAATCCGGTCTGATTCTAACAACATGGGCTGGTTCAATTTACTAAAATGAGTCTGGTTCTACGGAAACCAGGTCAAACTAATCAGCCAAGTCCAGTTTCGTTAATGGAGAGTAATGAAGTTTTCTTTTTTTGACAAATCAGGTCGCTTGACAACAAAGAGTGATGTATATAGCTTTGGGGTTTTGTTGCTTGAACTATTGTCAGGGCGGCGAGCAATCGAAGAGTCAAAATCTCAGGCTGAGTGGTGCCTGGTCAACTGGGCAAAGTCATTTTTAACGGAAAGAAAGAAAGTATTTCGAATTATGGATACAAATTTGCAGGGCCAATACTCTCACAGAGAGGCTCAAGTGGTAGCTACATTAGCCCTCCAATGTGTCAGTTGGGAAGCCAAAACCAGGCCGAAAATGAGAGAGATTCTCAACATTTTGGAACAGTTGAAAGATAAAGGAAATGATGAAAATCCCCCAAACCGAACGGCTCGAGTATTAAAGGCCCACTAAGAATGCATCCATGCATTTGAGTCCAAGTAGGAATTGAGACTTCCAATCATAACAAGGTAGGCTGACTTAAGTCACTGGACCCTAACTGTGGTTACATACAAATGGGTAAAATTCGAAGGTTTGTCATGAAACAAGATCACACTTCATCTCATTTGTGCCATTCCTCCAACTCGAAATTTCTTTGCTTTTGTATTTTTGTTTTTCTTTCTCTTTTTTCCACCATTTGGAACATTTTTCATTATTTTTTATTATCCCTTCTTCTTGCACATAATCCTTCTTTTCTTATATTTTTTGCTCTACGAAATTATTTTACTAAAAGATCCAGATTTGAAACATGGGTTGGGATAGCTACCATCAGTCTAAACGATCAAACATATATGCATTTCTATTCCAATATCAGTTTCAGGTGGCGTTTGTATGTACAAATTTTCCATGGGAGAAAATAGTCAAATAATGAAATAACCTATCTACACTATCCATGCATATCAATAAAATACAATGGACTATTGGCAAGAGTAAATTACTCTGAAATACATTGTATAATACACCTATATAATACTGAATAGTTTACCCGAGACATGCTCCTCTTCGATTTTTGGACCAAACTACCGTTTCTGATATTAACATCCAATAAATAGAACGATACATTGGTATGGTAAACAAGATTAACACACAAATCTAGAAATGGTCCAAATTTTACTTAGCAAGAACATAATCTTATTGAAATTATGCGATATTCTTCTCATGCTTAACGCTAATTTTCTGACATATTGCTCAATGAAGTTTAACTATTTGACCAATTTTATGTAAAAGAAACAGACATAACTATGGAAAATTACTTTACTCTGACATATACAATACAAATACAGTACACCCATACTATATAGACTACTTTACCCCTAAGACATGTTCCTCTTTCAGTTTGGACCTATTCATAATATGGAAACTACCCAATTAGTAACAACAACATAAAGAACAAGAATTCTCAATATATAGATGGGCACTCACGAATTATTTGATCAGTGAAACCAATGGATTCTTCTATTTTTTATCTACTTGTTCTTGAACTGAACCAGTAGCAGGACCTACTTAAACATGTACCCTCAGTTACTCTCTCATTTCAGAACATGAAGTGGTAAGGTTGCTTTACATTGTTTGCCGCTGTTTGAATAACAAATTAAAAGAATAATTTGGACTATGAAAGAAGAAATAAGCAAAGCATATATAGAAAATGATGTATCAATAAAAAAAAGTTAATCAAGGATTATGTCAATCATGCTAAAAGCATCAAGGCCGTTTCAGTGATATCAAGAGAGAAATAAAGGCTGTCATCACCATGCCATGTAATAAGAATTATTTATTAAATCAATCCCTGTAAAATTGATAATTTTCAAGAGTAAAACATATTTTCTCACAAAACAATTTGCGCCACCTGGGAGAGATCAAGCTAATTTTCCTACAACCCAAAAATTTCTTATCAAACATTATCCTCTATCACTAGTCTCCAGAGAGACAAAACAACAGGTAATAGTTTCGAGGAATGTCATATAAACACTAGTTTAAAGCAAAGCTATTAGTTGGTCACAAGTTCAAAACAAAGAAATTCACCTAAAGAATGAAATGGTGCGCAACCTTTATATCACTCGCCATTGCTCTTAAACCGCTGTACAGTTAGCATACTCAACTCCATGTAACGCTGGGCACAGTTAGAGAGGCATGTGACTTCACTATGACTGAAGCTGCTCCCAACACTACCAGTAACGCATTTATCCCAGCAAACATCAGTGAGCTTTGCCACCATTTGATTTACCATAGCCCTCTGCTGCTCTTGCTGTAGAAGACATCACACTAAAGTTAGTCCAGTTACATACAAGCAATCAACTTAGAAATTTTTAAGATTGGAAGTTTATTCCTTATTATATGATGTGGGCTTGCTTTGGACAACCATGGGTTAAGACATGTTTTATGTTTAAAAAATAGAAAAGTGGACCACCAATATATTAGGTCCCAATTTTCTGAATGAATTACCCAGATGTGGATATATAGTTTAAACGAGTGTTTTAAACTGTCGGATGTGGTCCCGAAGCGGTCGCGGGGCCGATGCGGTCCAGATGCCGGTGCATCACCCCAATGCGGTCAATAAATATAAAAAATTCAAAAAATCTCAAAAAATAGGTTAACACATGAGGTGATTTATGTGATAGTAGGTATTTAATTTATGAATAAAGTTTTTATAGAACCAAGGCTCTAAACAATCAAATTAGAGCCCAACTCAAAAATTTCATTAGAAGAGGCTGTTTTGATGCCCTAATGTCCTCAAATTGATCATCTCAACATCAAGATGCATGGACATGAGCAAAATTGGATTTCAAGTTTAGAAATACTGCATCTTATAATGCATTTTTTGGACCGTCAATTTTCAAGATTTTCAAGTTTTCGTAGATTTGCTCGATCTACACTCTATTTGAAGGTTTAAATTTTATAATTAAAAATAAAAATACATTTTAAGGCTATCACAAATATTTCCAATATGAAAACCACATTTCTCAACACAATTTGAAGGTGTGCTTTACTTTGATTGTTTAGAACCCCGGCTCCATACAAACTGCACCCTTAATTTATTCATTAACTCCAATTTTCTTGACTGTCAGAGACTCAGATTCCCCTGATAAAAGACATTAGAAATGGAAATTAGAAACTAGAAACTAGAAGCTAACTTTATAGAAGACATTAGAACTTAGAAGACATCATATTATCATTACTCAAAAACTTCCAAAAACCATAATCACAATTTCGCAATTGAAAATTTTAAAGTCACAAAGTCCAAAGCAAAAAAAATTTCACATCTTCTTGGCCCTTGAAACCCTTGATATGTTGACAAATCTATGCTCAAACTTCTTCAAAACACCACCCAAGCTAATTCCAATCCAACCAACACCTAAAGCAAATTGACAATTTTTTAAAGAAAATTTCAGCCAACTTTTTACCTCTTCGTTTGATCCAAAAGCAGCCACATTTATGGCTGTTTTTTTTTTGGGAGTTTAATACCCCCAAAACCCTTTACCCCCCTTTTGGGGGTGGGGGGGAATGACTACAATACCTTGCTTGTGGGCACTATTTTTTGCCCACGGGTTATGCGGCGCATATGCGCTATGCGCTATGCGGCTGCATATGCAGTGGGATGTGGCACATATGCGAGGGCATCCTACCAACGCGCATATGTGCCCCTATGCAATGCACTTCAGGGCGCATAGCGCATTATGCGGCAATGCGGTCACAATTTAAAAACAATGGTTTAAACTAAGAGCAGGCAATGTAGGTTACTTATTGAGAAACTTCCAACATCACGCACCAACGGGCATTTCCTTGTTATTAGTCTCTCTGGGCTGGTCATTCCTTGCATGGTTTCCTCTGTTTAGAAAGGTGGAACAGAGGTTGTGAGTCAATTTTGACATTTGAACTTCATTTTTTCAAATATCAATTAGACAAGTCATCTTGAGAGTCGTCATGCGCATCATCAATATCATCCTCGACGGCCTCCATGTATTCTTCTT